GATTAGTTGTCAGTTTCAATTTGAAAAGCCATTTGAGAAGTGTTGTCATTATAGCAATATTAATTCTTCCAGCCCATAAACTTGGGATGCTTTTCCACTTACGAAGGTCTTCTTTAATTGTTTTTCTTGTGATGCTTTGTAGTTTTCAGTGTATGAGTCTTAGTCTTCTTTCATTAAAATTATTCCTAAATATTTTATTATTCTTTTGATGATGTCAGTGGAATTGTCTTAATTTCATTTCAAATTGTTTATTTTTGCTAGTGTATCTGAGAACAGGAGTACAACTGATGTGTGTGTTGATCATGTAGAAATCATTTACTCTGACGGTTTTTTATGGGCATGTGTGCTTTGCTTAGATTTTTTTTTCACTGTACAGAATCACGTCATCTGCAATTTGTTAGGTTTACTTTTCCAGTCTGGCTGTCTGACTGACCCTGCCACAGCCTCTCAAGCCGAGCCATGTTGAACATAGGTGAAGCAGGCACACTTGCCTTGTTCCTTATCTTAGGGACATCTGTGAGTCTTTCAGTTAAGTCTGACATGATGCTAGCTGTGGAGGTTTTGTAGGTGCTATTGATCAAGGTAAAGAAGTTCCTGGGCTTGGCACTTGGTAATCCCAGTTACTTGGGAGGCAGAGATCAGGGGGCTTATGTTTCAGAGCCAGCCTGGGCAAAGAGTTGGTGAAAGTCCATCTCAACAAAGTAAACCTGGTGCGGTCGTGCAGCCCTGTGGTCCAGCTACTTCTAGATAGGAAGAACATGGTCCCAAAAAAGTGTGAGACCCTATCCGAAAAATAACTAAAGCAAAAAAGGGCTGGGGGTGTAGCTCAAGTGGTAGAGCACCTGCCTAGCAAGCACCAGGCCTGAGTTCAAAACCCAGAACTGCCAAAAGAATAAAAAAGAAGTTCCTTTTTCTTCTCGGTTCGTGTCTTTTATTATGAAAAGGTGTTGATCTTGTTGGATGTGTTTTCTTGCATCTGTTGATACGATCACGTGATTTTTCTCCTATATTCTATTAATACAGTGTTACATTGATTGATTCTCTAATACTGAACCAACCTTGAGTTTCTGGGGAACTCCCACTTGCTCCTGGTGTACATCTGTCTATTTTTCACATGCTCTCCATTGTGTTAGCTTGTATTTTGGTGAACGTTTTTGTCTGCAGTTTCCTTGTAATACCTTTGTGTACTTTTGGTGTCGGTGTAAAGTGACCGCATAAAGTGAGTTTTAAAGTCTTTCTCTTCTGTTTCTCGTAAGAGGTCTTGAAGGATCAGTGTTATCTTTGTTAAACCTTGGGTAGAGCTCTCTAGTGAAGACATTTGGTCTTGGGCTTTGTTTGTGAGAAGCTTTTGATTACTAATTTAGTGTTTTTACTTCCAGTAGGGTTGTCCAGATTTTCTGTTTTTTTGTGGCATTTTGATACTTTGTATCTTTAGGAATTTGTCCATGTCAGATGGGTTTATCAAATTTACTGGCCTGCAGTTATGTATCACTCTTTGAAGTACTTTTTGTTCTGTGAAGTCAGTACACTATGCTCTCTGTCACTCCTGTGAGTTTTGGTCTGTTGTTTTTTCGTTATCAGTCTCAGTGTTTTCACGTTTCTCCGCCATTTCTTCAGGAGAATATGTATTGTTTAGCGTCTATGTATTTTTAAAATTTTCCTGGTTTCCTTTTATTATTGAGTTCTCATTTTATTTCATGGGGGCCAGAGTGCATACTTGGTTTCAGCCCTTTAATCTTTTTTGAGACATCAGTCTGTCCTGTGCATTTGAGGAGATGGTTGGGCGCATGCTCTGGAGATGTCTTAGGTCTAGCTGGTTTGTGGTGTGGTTTTGTTGTAGTCTCTGATAAACAGAAATTCGATTCTTCTATCCTACATGGATGCATCCAGTCAGGAGAAAGGAGTTACAGACGGCCATGGTGGGCCAGGTGGGAGCCAGAAGCAGAAAGAGAGAGAGAGGGAGAGGGGAGGAGAGAAGCGAGAGAGAGAGAGAGAGAGAGAGAGAGAGAGAGAGAGAGAGAGAGAGAGAGAGAGAGCTCTGTTACTGGCACTGACCTATGGGAGGGGCTAAGGGTTTGGTTGGGCGAGGGTGTGATCGACATTCATGTTCCTAATCTGAGGGGCGGATTCACCCCAGGGTTTTGTCTACTATTTACAACACCAAAGGATAGCATTGGGCCAAGACAGGGAGTGTAGCGGGAGATGTGCTGAGAACAGGCCACAGGACTGAGGAGTCCCCCGGCATCTTTTCTGTGTCCTGGCCTCCCTCAGTTTGTGTCTTCTCTTTCCTCACTGGTCTTCTGTGTGGTGGCCCTCTCCATTACTGAAAGTGGATTTTTGAAGTGTACACCGTTTGCTGACTTGTCTTCTCCCTTCAATTCTGATTCATGTGTCGTGGGGACCTGTTGTTAGGTACACGTGTTGGTAGTCGAGATGCAGCTATCTTTATAAAATGTTGTTTTGTTAATGGCAGTGGTGTAGTCTCTGGTCAGATTTCCAAATTCTTTGTGTCCCACACGGAAGAAGCCATGGCAGGACACGTGGGTGTAAGTGGAGTTTATAAAAAGTCAGGGAAGGAAATTGCAAAAGGGGGAAATGGTGGGATCAGGTGGAAGTGGAAGCAGAGAGCTTGTCTGTCTCTTTTCCAGGTGCTTTTAAAACTTACAGTAACCTATGGGCAGGAAGAACCTGCTGATTCCCAACTAATTAATGAGTGGGGAGGAGCATGGGTGGTCCCTGGGCCAGGTGAGGGTGGTTGGAGCTGTCCCTGAGCTAGGGGGTGAACAACCACACACATTTGCACCTGAAAAGAAGGCTGAGAAAGAGAGGAGTGTTCAATCAGAAACACAATATTAAGTCACATGTGTTCTAAGAGTCCAAACTGTTGGGTCTGAATACCTAAGGCAGATGAGGGGTGTCCTCCCCACCCCCACCAGAGAGCAATAGTGTTCCTGCATCCTGAGGAAATGGAGGCCTGCATTCCTGCATCCTAAAGAAGAGATACAGAGATGTAGATCTGCCACAAGGCTGAAGGGCAGAATGCTCTCAAGATTGTTTCCTTCCCCCAATAAATGTGCTAACCAAACCAGTTCACTTAAGAAAGCCCTTGAAGTGCAAGGCCAATGAGAAAACTCCCAACCCAGAGTTAAAACGTCCGTAAAAACCCCAGCCTTTGCCTGAGCAGGGAGTTCCCGGCTTCCAGGCTCTGCTGCACTGCTCCAGCTGTAGCCTTTCCTTTCTCTCTAATAAATCCTACTTTATATACTGGCTTTGGCTTATCACTCAGCTGCCTCACGAGCCAGTTCTCTGGCCTGTGAAGGCAAGGACCCTCGACACTGGCACGTAACAAAACTTTCCCTAGTTCTAGACTGCCTCACTTTGTCTTAAGGTTTATTTTGTCTGATGTTGGTCAAAAGGAGCTATTCCAATTCCCTTTTGGTTTTCTCATCCTGCCACGTTCAACTTTGTCTTCTAGTCTAAAATGTGTCTCTTTAGAACATGTAAATAGATTATTTTAAAAATCCATTCTGCCAGTCTTCCCCTTTAAATTGGAAACTTTAATCCATTTATATGTAAAGAAATTAGCAATAAGGAAGGACTCTGCCACTTAAAATTAGTTTCTCTGTGTGTTATTTTTCTTCCCCAGTATCTTCATTACTATCGTGTGTCTATGTGTGTTTGTATTGCACCATTGATTCCTTTCTTATTTTCTATATGTTTTGGTGATTTATTTATTTTCTTGGTGATTGCTTTGGGGACTACAGTTAACTCCTTAAACGTACAAAATTCTTGCTGGTGGAGTAGCTCAAGTGGTAGAGCGCCTGCCTAGCAAGCATGAGGCCCTGAGTTCAAACCCCAGTGCCACAAAGATTCACCTTAAGCTTATAAAATTCTGATTTTCGTTATTGTTAACTTAATTTCAGTGGTATATAAAATCATTAACCCAACATATCTCCATTTTCCTTCTTTTGTGTACAGATAGCATCTTTCTACATTTTGTGCTGATCAACACAGATTTATAGTTACTGCACTATGCCATTGTTTGTAAATCAGAAGAAAAAAAGGAATTACAGACAAAAGTACATTTCTGCTGTCTGTATTTAGGTACAAATGGTTATCTCTATTGGTGCTCACTTTTTCTTCGTATGGATTCAGCTTCCTCTGTAGTGTCCATTCATTTAATTCTGTATTTCTTGAATACTAGCAACGAATTCTCTAGGTTTTTGTTTATCTGATATGCTTTGATTCTCTACATTTTTGAAGCATAGTTTTGCTGGAATCCTTGGCTGTCAGTTTTGTTTTTTTTCCTTTCGGCACTTTGCATGTTACCTCACTGTCTTCTGACCTGCATACTTTCTAATGAGAAATCAGCCTTGATCCTATCATGCCAGGATCATACAATAGATTCTTCACAAAGTCAAAGAATTGCAAGTTGAATCATTTAACTGTGGATGCTTCTTGTTAGGTTACTCCCAATAAACCCATCATAAAATTGGAAAATCATTGGTTGAACCATCCTAAGCTAGAGACTATCTATATCCTGTTTTTTGCCAGTTTGACTCTGATTTGGCTTCGCGTGGCTCTCTGAGTTTATCCTACTTGGAGTTCTTTGTACTTAGATTGATGTTCAAGTCGGTGAAGTTTTTAGCTATTGTTTTTCCAAATGTTATTTCTGCTCCTTCTTCTCTCTTTTCTTTCTGATTGTCCCATCATGTATTTGCTGGTGTACTAGGCAGAAGAGGCTCTTCTGTCTGTCCCTGTGGGGCTAGGGGGTGGCATTTTATACCCCAAAAGCTTCTGTCCCACTGACTGCACTTGGATTGTGCAGCCCAGGCTGTCAGGCCTGCGGGAAGTGAGCAGCAGGCCTCAGGGAGTCAGTAAGTTAAAAGGCTGGGGCCCTCTCTTGGTCATGGTGTGTTTGTCTCAAATTAAGGTCTTTCTTGGTGGCACATGGTAGACCATTGAACTAATGGGCTTGGTGTCTTTTTTTCCCCCGCTAGGTTCAGCGTCAACAACACCATTCTGCACCCTGAGATCGTTGAGTGGTGAGTATGGCCTGCAGCACCTTGGCTCATGAGGATAGCAGACTCTGCTGCTCCTGTCCACCCCACTCGAAAGCTGTCCTCAGAACTTCCTCCCTCAGCCTCTCCGTTTTGTTTGTTTTAGCAGGGAGGTTGTTTGGTTTTATTCTAAAAGGCGTAAGTCACTGGAATTCCAATTAAAGTTCCCCCATCATTTCCATTATTTGCAATCTTTTGGAACTACTACCATAAGGAGGCCAGACATAAAGGTCAGCTACAAGGTAGGAAAGTGTAGATTTCAGCATCACACACACACCCATTGCCAGATGGGGCGAACACATTTTCCTCGTGCTGCACAGGTGTCCTGACTGACAGGTGTGGCCCGCCCTGCACATACTTTTGCTGTCCTCTTTCTTTCCTAGGTGGCCCTCAGCTTCAGTGCAGCTGGTTTCTGTGAGGAATCTGCAGGGCGAGCCTTCGCGGGTTGGGCGAGGCCCCCGTGGGCTCTACAAGTGGAAGTGCCAGTGGTTTTCTTCCTAAGCACCGTGTTGCTTGTTGATAGCAGCAATCATTTTGCATTGTGTGTGGCCGCACTGATTGTGAAAGTAGAAGAGGGGCGAGGCAGGGCCTTTGCCACCTCCTCACTCAGCTGAGACTTGCCAATCCCATGTCACTGCGGTGACATTTTCCTAGTGAACGTGAAACTAGGGAATGCTATATCTTGAGGACAAGCAGGAGCCTGAGGGGCGGGAGGAGATGCTGGAGTTGGGGAGGAGGAAAGATCCAATGTCTAGGGAACATTTGCTCAATGAGACCAGGAAGAGGGTGCTGGCCCTTTGTGGAGCCTGAGTGTGGCTGGAGGGACAAGAGCAGTGCTGAGTTTGACTTTGACTTCATCTTGAGAGAAATGAGAAACACAGGAAACCCTTGAGGGTTGAAGTAGGAAAGTGTGGGACAGGCTTGCATTTCCAAGACATCTTGGCTTCCCACTGCACACTTAGCTGCAGGGCAGGAGCAGGACAGGTTGCCAGTGAGGAGGGCCCAAGTGGCCCTGGGATGGGGATAGGGTGGCAGATTTGAAAGGAAAAGTTGCAGTGGAGAGTAAGACTCCTGGGGGAGCCAGCTGTAATGGAGGAGTGCAGATGACTCCAGGTCGTTGTCCTCCTCAGCTTGGGGGAACGTCCCTGAGAGAGCCAGGACTGGGAGCAGGTGCTATGGCCAGTCTGGAACTTGTTTGCAGGGTGTTGAGTCTCAGGTGGGTGCCAGTGGGAGGGAGGACTGAGTTGAAGGTGGCCATCTGAGAACTGTCCACAGGTGTTGGTACTGACCCTCCAGAGAGACAGAGAGGACAGTCAGGCCACCCTTACTCTGTCAGCAGCCCTGACCCAGTGCCTGTCACAGCCACACACTTGGCAAGGAATGGACTGTGTCCTTCACATCATGGCCGCTTCTTGATTGTTTCAAGTAACACATGGCTGACTGTAGCCCTCGTGGCAGAAGAATGAGTCCTGGATCCTCAGAACAGGCTCAGGCCCCATGGCCATCCCTCAGGGCCACTTCAGCGGGGTGCTGTGGAGACCTTGGCTAGGCCATGCTCCAGTATCTTCCTGCGGGATGAGCTGTTAGCTCTTCCCTTCTGAGCAAGCAGGCTTTAATTCTCCTGACATTTCCAAAGCTCTGAGGTGAAGCCTGCGTCTGTAAGAATACCTCTCAACTTTATTAAAGAAAGCAGTTATTTGGCATTTGATGGCAGTAGAACGGTTTTGGAAATGTCACATTGTCCTTGCTGCCTTGGGGTGGTGTTTTACTAGCACAATCCGGGGCTGTAGTGATGGTTGCCCTCGGTGGATCCTTCGTAGCCACAGTTACCATTGTGCCCTGTGGGTTCTGGGTGAATGGCAGTCAGGTCCCCGTTTCCCAGAACGGGTGGGCTTTCACATACTACAGTGTGACTCTGTGCTATGTCTGGACTTCTGGGTCTTGAATGCTGTTCTGTCCCACCTCTCAGGGTCCTTTGGAGGGAAGCTGTCTAGGGGACTCTCAGCCCAGACACATCTGAGTTCCACCCCCAGCCCACATAACCTTGGGTGGCACAAGTCAGGGAACTTCTCTGAGCCTCTGCTGCCTCAGCTGTAAAACATTGATACCTGACGCACAGGGAGGATGTGAAGATGCACCTTTCTCAGTTTCCCAACTGGGTGGATAACACAAGAATTGAATGGCAGCAGGAATCAGACACTGGCACGTCTTCATACTGCCCCCTGTTGACACTCCCTGCTTGCATGGGCCCGTGCTCTTGAGCGCTGGACACGACCTTATTTAAGGAGGTTTGTTTTTTCTTATATTAATGGGGTGTTCTGGTTATCCCCATGCTACAGAAATAGATACTGAGGCACAAGGAATTTACTGACTTGCCCAAGTAATAAAACAGTTGCGCCCAAGCTGCTGGTTCCACGTCTCATGTGGCCCTTGTATCTCAGAAGAGCACCCTGGAGGCCATGGGCTGCCTGAGCACCAGCTCTCTCCCCCTTCATTCCTGGTACCACTAGAAATACTGGGCGCTTGGAGCCCTTGGACTGCATCTTGAGCTAAGGTCACAGTGTAGCAGGGCTGGAGAGCAGGGGCCAGGCAGCTAAGCTCCCTCAGCGCCCACCCACACCCCACACCCCAGCTCCCAGCTAGCAGTTTGACTGGGAGCCAGTGTGGTTGGAAGGCAGTGAGTACAGGGACACTTGCTTTCTCGTTTTTATTTGGGTGTCATTCATTTCCTCTGTGTGACTGTTTTATTGTTTTCCATTCTCTCAAGGAATGCTTTTTTGATTTCCTGTAAATTCTTCTCTAATCGTCCTCTTCCCCACAAACACGAGATTATCACTCATCATTTCTGTCCCTGTGCTGTGTGTCGCAGTTTGAATGCATAGGTCAAAAGTTGAAAGTTAGTAAGTGCAGGCGTCTCACTTCCATATTTTAGACTGTGGTTCTACTGCACCGTTTTACAGACGATGGGATTGATCTGAAAGTATGGCAGGAAATGAAAGGAGACGCCTTCGTGCAGTCTAATAGCTCTGTGCCTTGGCTTCTGGCTAAGTGCCTCTGGGAGCATCACAGAAGAGCGGGTATCTCAGCAATTGCCGTGCACCTTCTTGGGTTTTAAGTGAGATTGTGTTCAATTGAGTCATATGCCTGTTTTAGAGCTGTTAATTACACGGAGTGAAAGTGTCCTGCATGCATTAAAAGCAGCTGGTGGTTAACATCTGTTTCTGCTCCCCTCCTTCTGTGTGCACAGGCGATGTTGTCAGGGCAGAAGTGCCCAGGACCCTACATCCAGGGTAACACATCCCAAATTAGCAAAAGTACATAGATGATGACCTAGCTTCTCCGTGTGTATGTGAACAGTATTCCGGCAGGGTTAGGCAGGTGTTTAACCCTCCATCTAAACACAAAGCCGAATAGAAGGGAGGATTCCCAGTGCCAGAAGGCATGAGCCTCAGTGGAACCAAGTCCTAGGCCAGAGGTCCAACTCCAGGGAGTCCCCACAAGTTAGGTCCAGCCACTCTTCCCAGAAATCAAACAGAAAAGTATTGGAGGAGGCAGGAAAGGAATTCAGTCAATGCTGCCATATTGGGAAGATGGTCAGCTATTCAGTCTATCTTTGGGGTCCCGGCAGGAGCCTTTGATTTAAACACTGGAAGAATTGGGGTGAGGGCAAGAGGTATGTGTAATTAAGTGATCTTGTCAAACTCTAGTTTGACAGGTTTGGTTGGTTATTATCTCAGTGCTGGTTCTACATGGTGACTCTGGGGAAGTCCTTATCACTGGGGACATGAGATGATAACTCCTACAAGTGGGGAGGCAGCCTCAGTTTCTCACTTTTGGGGTAGTTGCTCCCATTTAGGTGATCTCAGTGTGGGGTGATCTGTCTGTGAGGCTCCCGTTGTTTCTGGAATCCATGGTAACTGTAGGTTTGGGACAATGACTGGAGACTTTCTGGTGCCTTTTCTGGGGTCTAGAATAGGACATTGTAAAAACTGACAGTAAAATACCTTAGTTACTCTTTTTTGTTTTGTTGGATTTTGTTTTTTGATACTATATGGCAGAGGCTGGTCTCAAACTCTGTACCTCCTGCTATAGCTTCCCCTGTGCTAGGATTATAGGTGTGTCACCGTACCCAGCTGAATACCTGAGTTACTCTTTGTGCCTTCAGCCTTGAAGGAGGATGAGACAGGTGTCACCGTTTTTTAGACAGGGTCCTTGGGTAACTAACTTGCCTCCACCAGAACCTAGCAGGAATCTGACCCAAAGTAACAGAGACGGGTACAAAAGGAAGTCAGAGATGCCACATTTCACCCTCCTGTTAGTTTGTTGCCCACCTGGCATCTGTGGGCCCAAGTGAGGGGTTGGTGTGTTTTAGCAGGAGCAGTTTCTGAGCACCTGTTATACCAGGCTGTGGGGCAGGCACAGCCAGGCCTTGGTCCAGGCGTCCATGTCTGCTTTTCCCCCCGAGGTCTCAGGCAGGCTCAGCTTACAGGTGAGTGTGGCTCTGATTTATCTGAGAGGGCTTAGTGAGGACATGTAATTTCAAGCTGCCCTTTCCTTTGCTGTCCCTCCTGTTCTAGGGTTTGTCCTTTGTGTCACTTGAGCTGTTTGGGGGCGGGACTCCTGTGGTATTGAACTCCCACCCACCTGGCTCCCACAAGCCATTCCCTGCACACTCATCTCCAGGAGAGATGACCTCCCTGGCCCTTTAAGTGAATTTTCTTCAGCACGGTGGCACTTTGATACTTAGAGACTGATTTTGGAAATATTTCATCCTGGCTTGCTACTATTTTAATCAGCCAAGCATTCAGGCTTCAGTTAATTGATGTCTTAATCCTGGCTTTAATACCCAGAGGCAGTTTTGTGACCTGTGAATATGTAAGGGAAAATAAAGATTGCCCAAATAAATCTCTTACCTAGTGCAGTTTTGGCCATTCCAGGTCTGCAGCAGGAGACTGTGGGCCTGGGGTGAGGCGGGTGTCCCTGTC